CTTTCGCGACGAAGATGATGACGGGTTCATAAAGTTATCTCGTATAGTACATTTTCTGGTCATCGCTTTGCCTACTTCTAAGCGCACACGTTCCTCTAACCCAAATTGCGTACATCTCGGGAGACAGTGAAATCGATAGGAGATGCTGCGGCCTCAACTCTAAAGTTCTGTATCCCGCGTTCGAAGAATAGTCTTCCCACAGCCCGGGATCTTGTACCATATACAGCCAGTTGCCTTCACTACTCATCTCGAGCTCTGGGAGGTAGACGCGACGGATGTACAGCTACAACTTATGAACGAGACCAATCACCAGCAGGTACTGTTTCGACGATTACAACTGAAGTCTGACCCTTCTTTCGCTGATTTTTCCCATAGTGGCTCTTTGTTGCAGATCCCAATTCTTATGAGAGTTTCTCTGGGCCTGAAAACTCTGAGTGCCATGATTACTACCAAATTCTCGCCGCTGCGACACAGAACCTGCGGTTTCCTCGATATCTGACTGTGCAGCCAAGCATCAATGGGAACCCCGCCGTGCTTCAGGCTCCAAGGGAAGAGGACGCTGTTCCTGCTTTCTGGACTCTAACTGAAGCTAATGCTAGTGAAGACTCGTACTTGTACGGTCATCTTACTGCATGGATTGCCCCTTCTTTTGATGTTTTTAGTTTGATCACAGCTGGCGACTCTAAAGAGACCGAGGCGTATCTTCAGGTCACTGCCAAGGGTGACGTATGTAGTTCACTTCTTTATTCAATCAGCTTTAAACAGCTATCATAGGTTACCACTCTCATGAGACCCAAGAAAAATAAGTGTGTACGTTTCATTACATCCTCATTTCAGCAGCAGCCTGTTAATAAGTTTTTCTTTCAGCCTGCTGCTCGCTCTCTGCGGTGGAAACTCCTCGAATATTATCCGAAAATACCTCAGGGAACCTGCGAAATCAAGAGCGTTGTCGATAACAACATTTTGGATCTCAGTGCAGATCTAACACAGCTTTCTGTGGCAAGCACGCGACACGGTGCCCTTCAGCAGACAAGTTAAAAATTTACACATGCTCTCATATACCGTTAGGTCACGCAACCACTTTGTCAATGGAATATTCGATATCTCTTTGGCATCTGATGCTGATAGATACCTCGGCTGGGAGAAGCATGCTACCACAGGGCTTCCCAAGATCGCAATCACCAGTATGCCGTTCAATTGGCTGGTGAAGAGCGTTCGCCCCTCTGAGTACTCGTGAGTTTGAGATCGCTTTGTAGTGACGTTGGACGCTAAAACAGGTGTTAGCATATCGTTTGATTATGACCTGAACTCGACTACGAATTGCATTCAACGCCAATGGTAGCAAGGTGCACATCGATTAATCTGGCAGAGTATAGTTGTTTCCTTCATTCAGGTGCTTCTTTTGCCGTTCCAGGTATAGCACATCCTCCGACCCTGCGGCTGCAGCACTATGATTTACTCCTAACACGCTAGAACAACGTTCAAAACCAGAGTTGGGTATTCCAAAGCGTTGGTATGCCATCTTTGAGTACCGAAGACTCTGCGATTGATAAATCTGGGTAAACTGCTACAGAAGACCCTGTAAATGAGAAACCCGATCCTGGAACACCTACAACACCTACTTCCGACGAGCCCACTGCTACTGACACTTCTCCTACTCATCAGTCGTCAAGGGACGGCTCTTCTACGGGCCATCATGATCCAAGCGTACCTAACCGTTACAATGGCATCGTTCCTGCACCTACATTTCGTGGATGTCCAGAAATCACTGATGGTCGTTATTCTATCCGTAATGCCGTGGAGCAGAAATGGATAAAGTTGACCAGCGATGAACGCCTGGATTGGAGCCTAGAAGAGGTAAGCTTCATACTTAGTCCTTGAATAGTACTACCAATCGCATTGTGATTGTCAGGTCTATGTGACTATTTTCCAAAGTAGCTCCGATCTATGGATTGCTTCAGACGACTGCCATTCTCGTGCGGATCCACACTCAGGCTTAGTCCTTTCTGAGCCTTTATTCTACCCTCTTATTCTGGAGCGAGTGTATCATCCGTTGGATGGTTATGCCTATTAGTGAGTCGGCCACATTTAGATACAATGAAGCACATGTAACATTCTCCGCAGCATATGCGACCGATATAACTCCACAAAAGTCGTTTCTGGTGAAGTGACGACTTTTCTATCCCGTTACAGAGGTGTGAGTGCATAAATCATTTTACTCAATGCTCATCTCAGTCTCCTTTTGAACAGTTCAAGGTGGCAGAAAAGTCCAACACCGATCGGAAGCAGCTTTGGAAGTTCACTCGTGCAGATTAGTGTGTATCTGTTGCATAGAAGCACTGTCGTGAATCCCATAGATTATCGATGTAAGCTATATCAAAGTTTGGGCGTTAATGTCCGTAAGCATCGTTTGAGATGAAATGAGATCCAGATACATGAGGCAGATGGTATGTACATAGCACAACAACATGGGTACAGAGCCTTCGATACAGAAACCAACGAAACAAGAAAGCAAATAAAAAGATGTGAATAATTAAGTAGCGTCCGAAAGCACGCAGCCAAAGGAAAAAACATAAGGGGCGTGAGCAATTCCATCCATCCAAAAATATTGAAGAGAAGAAAAGATAAACCTGGAAGAGCTTCTTCACAGGCGCCCTAAAGAGCACGAGGGGTATAAATATGCCCGTCCAAAAATATCAAACAGAGGAAAAAGACACACCTATAAAAGGTATACGTCCTCGCAGACGCCCTAAGGAAATCATCCTTGCCGGAGATGAACAGCATCCGGCACCGAGAGCATCGCAGGCTCTCTACCTCCAATTTCAGTTCCCCCGTTATGCCGATGTGAGTTTGCGGAGGGTTGGGAGTCAAGGGGAGGATGCACATACGTGTCATCGTCTGAATTACGTGGTCCTGGTCCTGGATCTATCTGGGAATTCCCGGGATCATGGCTGCCAGTGCGGTTAGACATCACGTCTAACTCATAGGCCATGTATTTCGGAGGACCTCCTGCCATCTCGTAAGCAGGAAGGATATCTTTGTCGCCAATGTATCCGTCATGGTCCGAAGGTCCAACCCCACCCACATTCCGCCGCCCAGAAGCATCTGTATCGGCCGCGTGGATGCGGCTTGCATAAGGGTATGGTGGGACTTGATTTACTCCTGTCGTACGTGGAAAACGGTGAGGAAGGAGTGAGGTGATGGGTGTTGTGGTAGGTGGGTTGCGTCTCCTGTATATTATTCTGGGACATTTTGTCAACGAAAGAGAGACAAAAAATTCATCGCAAGATGGCACACCTGTGAGCCATGAGACCGACAAAAATTAGAACGAAAAGGGATATAAGGAGATACTCCAGCGTCATCTACTTGTGATCAGTTTTACAGTGCATGCAAATCGTGTGTGAGAGAGAACTCACTTTAGCGACTGAAGATCCCTGACTGCTCGCTGTCGTCGTACTCGGGTCTTGAAAAAGGGGTCGCGTGGTCGTCGCAACGTTAATCGTACTACTCGACGACGTCGTCATCGTCGTCGAGCTATGTGTTGAACTTGAATTTGAACTACTTGCGACAGTCGAAGTTACCGAATCTGACGTACTAGATGCTGCACGAGGCCATCGCAGAGCTGCTGTAGCGATAGGAGAGGGCACCGCAGAGCCCGTTGCGGTCCTTGGAAACTTCATGACAGCAGCTGCTGTATGAACATACACGGCAGCGTGCTCGACGGCCCCCTTTTACACAACTCGGAACGATTTGCGCAGCGGAAGGATTGATCAGACAAAGATGAGACGTCATGGTTTTTGGAATTTCCTTCGGTTACGTAATCTTGCACATGACGGAAATTTCCTGAGCATCCTTTGTCGCCAAGATGCGACCAACATTGTTATTGCAAAAGTCTGCGCGTTCAGCATGGAAGGGTATAGTATGATCTCTTTGTATTCAAACCTTTCAAGTGTAACGGTTGATTTCACAGGCCCATATTTCGTTGCTTTCCCTAACCTTCGAGAAGCTATTGCCAACCACCAAGCTATTAAGACGCAGGCCCGAGCATGTACAATCTTGCCTAATTTCGTCGGGTGCGTACATCTTATATCTGAAACCGGTCTCTCTCTCTGAAACTTATCTTCCTTCAGCGTTAAATTCATGGTGCACAATGGGAAGGACTACATCCCAGTACAAGTGACGCAGGACATGGTTGGCCATAAGCTCGGGGAGTTTTCGCATACGAAGAAAAAGTTCAACTACAAGTGTGTATTATCTGCGTGTATCCTTCTTACGGGTACTGATCAGCTTCCACAGGGCTACGAAGAACAAGTAATTTGTAATGCGTTATCCGCACTGTCATTTTATACCCTATCTATTTATGAAAAGGATTCCACCACACTCTCGAGTCATACATGGAGCTTCGATTGAGCCTCTACCTCGTTCGCGTTATGTCTGGCGGTTCTCTTGGACATCTTCCAAGAGACTTTCGCTCGCCGGACTGAAAAAATGTTTCAGAGAAGAACTAGCCTGTTCGTCAAGTCTTTGCATAGGAAATTCCCGCATCGTTGAACGTGGCTGCCATTAGGTGCGATTCGCTTTTGACATTTTTTTCGGCAAGGTCGACATTCTTTATCATGTCGCTCGAGGTCGTCGCGGCTGTTTTCATTTTGAAGGCAACCAACTTGTCAGCCTATATTGAAACCTACGCCTGCAGCTTGATTCCATCTAGCTTCGTGCTTGATTTCTATGCCGACGTTCGTGGTGCGCACCTTAAAAGGCTCACATCTCGCATGTTGTACCCATCGTCATTGCTGAAGCTGAAGGCCGAGAAAACTTCGTGTGTTGTCCATGTCAAGACAATACGAATACACAAGGAGAATGAACCGGGCCACAGAAAATTACAGTAAGTGTTACACACTTTGAAGGTTATACGCGCTTCCAATTTGAGTTTAAGCCTGTCACCCTTCATCTGCCAATGCAGATGAAACAAAAAACATTGATTACAAAGGACATCGACCAGTCCCGACGGTGGTTTGAACACCGGACCCCGCGATATCAGTGTCAGTCGGACTGCAATCGCATGCTATACCACTTAGCTATCGAGACTCGACGATGGCGAAAACCTGGTGTAGAACAAGTTTTTGAAACCTTTAGAAGAGCTTAACTCCACCTTCCCATCGACGTAGGAGGTGGTTTTAACCTCCGAAGAGCTTAAACTCCACCTTGTCAAAGAACGTAACTGAGGTTGCCTTGGATTCCTCTGACGACCTATCGTCTAACGCTTCCTGTCCATCTGTGACGGCCTGAACATTGAACGATATCGTAGATTTGCGACCTTCTCGCGAAGATGATGCTTTCTTCATGCATTGTTCCGTATGCGCTTAGTGAACGTGGGTTTCTTATTGTCTTAAGGTTGACATGATCGACGTTACCTAGCAATGGCTTCATCGGTCTCCATGAGAGTCGTAATGAAAAGTCAGGGGCAGTTGTAGTTGCGAGTACATGAAAGCCATGAAATTTTGTTGAATCTTCTGGCCAATATGAACCTAGACACAGACGACATGGAGCATGAAGTGAATGAATAGCCCCTGAAAGGATGTGAAGATCGATCTTGATGCATGATGATTGAATAGAAATTGATCAAGAGATGGTGTCCCCTTGACAAAGGCCGGATAGATCCGATCAACTTCCACACGACTTGGCTCTCTTGTTTGCAACGCTCCCGTCACTGCCGTCGACGACGACGACGACAAGCTCCCACCTAAGACCGTGATCATCACCCACGACGACGACGACGACGACTATATCTGTCCAGCTCTCGTCGCCTGGTCTAGCAGGGAGCAACCTAGGCCATATCGGTATCTCACATCGCACGATTGCTGTTGTATCATGTCGTACAACCAAGTAACCGCCACGTCGCTGACGCCTAGCCGTCCAGCGCCCTCTGCGCCACACCGTCGCGGCACGGATAATTCACAGAATTCGCTGTTCAGTGCCAGTGCCGCCCTCGCCAATTCGGGTTATGGCCCATCGTTCTCATTCACCCCTTCATCACCATCTGCATCATCGTACAACACATCGTATTCAGGCATCGGCGGTACCCCGGCTCCACATATCGGTTCAGATACCGTCCCTGGTGTTAAGCCTATCAGGACTGGTCCTGCGAACGTGAAGGAAGATGGTTCTTTGAGTTTGTTCTGGAAACTCAAGTGGCTTGTCCTCAAGGAACAGACGCTGACTTTCCACAAGTCAGAGGTATTTAGTGTATGAACTCAGTTGAACAATCGATCACTTACTTTATATTTAGCTGTCGCCCGTCCAGACTACTGTCATGTTAAAAGATATCTCGGTTATCGAACGCACAGACGTCAAGCCGTATTGTTTGGTTCTTGAAACTCAAAATAAGAAATACTTCCTTCAACTCAAGAATGACGAGGAGGTGTATGGCTGGCAAGACGACATCTACGCACGTAGTCCTCTCATGGGCTTCAGTAATCCAACAAACTTTGTACACAAGGTGCATGTGGGCTTTGACGCAGCGTCTGGTGGTTTCACGGCAAGTCCGAGTCTTGTCTATCATTTGTTCCCATCGTGCTGACCCACTCCATCCCGATGTTTAGGGCATGCCAGAACAGTGGGCCAAGCTTCTCAACAAGTCTGCTCTCACGCGCGAGGACTATGCCAAGGATCCACAAGCTGTCCTCGAAGTTCTTGAATTCTACACAGATCATCAAAAGCGTGAATACGAAGAACTCGGTGCGCCTTTTCCCATACCAACCATAGTAGATAGCACCACTCACCTGGATGCACTCGCTCTGCGTAGCTGCCCCCGCACGCTTCGCAGGTACCGGTCTCGGCGGAATCGTCAAAAGCAGTAGCAGCTCCAGCGCATCCCTTGCCCCAACGAATGGGTCCTCTACGACCCTCGTCGGCGCGCGGCCTATGAACAAGCGTCAGGACAGTGCCCCACCAGGAATCAGCACCGACACCGAAGACTTCGCCTCTGCCGCCGCCGCTGCTTCAGAGCTCGTTAATGGATCGCACATCGCAGCCACAACCGGCTCGGCCGGGCCCCGTCCGCCCGCTTCCGGTCCTGCAGCAGTACGTCCTGCGCCTTCAAGACCCATACTTGCTGCTGGGCGTCCAGCGCCTGCACCACCCAGCGGTGCATCAAGTAAAACTGACCACCTGCCTAGTACGGCGGAGCTTGGGGCGCGGAAGCCTGCGACTGGGCCTGCGGGGACGTCAACGCCGACGTTGCAGACGTCTGCGCTGCCGGTGAGGAAGGAGTCGTTACCGTCGTCGCAGGAGAAGCCCCAGAGGGCACAGTTGCCCCAGCCGCCGAGCCAGCGGGAGCAGAGGGAACGCGAGCAGGAGCGGGAGCGCGAGCAGCGTGAGAAGTCGAGGGAGCGGGAACAGCGTGAGCGGGAGCGTGAGAGGGAGAGGGAGAGGGAGCAGAGACAACAAGCGCAGGCACAACAGCAGCAACAACAGCAGCAACAACAACCTGGCTCCGCCCGTGGCGAGCTCCCGCGACCGCCAATCACGACGGCGAAGACGGCTCCTGCACCGGTTGCGCAAGTGAAACCCCTGCAACCAACGAAGAAGGTGGTGCAGATCCAGGCGGCTGAGGAGAAGGAAAAGGGCAGTGTGGCGGCGGCGGCGGCGGCTCTGGAGAAGCCGAAAGAGAAGAGGATCAGCACTATGACAGAGGTGCAGATCATGGAGAAGCTGAGGCAGGTTGTGTCCGACGACGACCCTAAACTTATCTACAGTAAGATTAAGAAGGTCGGGCAAGGGTGAGTGTTATCTCTCATTCTGCTCTGTGTTTTTGTGTTCTTTGTTTTATTTGTTTCTTTTGTTTTCTGTTCGTTTTTCTTTTTCTTTTTGTTTTTCCCGTAATTTATCTATGGGCTTTGATCGGGGCTGATAACTCCATACCCACAGTGCCTCGGGACACGTGTATGTCGCTAAGACGCTGGCGACGGGCAAGAAGGTTGCGATCAAGGAGATGGACCTCTCTCACCAACCACGGAAGGAGTTGATCGTGAACGAGATCCTGGTGATGAAGGAGTCACAGCACCCCAATATCGTCAACTTCCTTGAGTCGTATCTCGTCAAAGCGAATGAGCTATGGGTCGTCATGGAGTACATGGAGGGTGGTGCGTTGACAGACGTTATTGAGAATAACACCCTCGAAGAGGACCAGATATCCTCCATCTGCCTTGAGGTTCGTTGTATTGTGGGTATGCTTGTTCGTGGCTGGTACTGATATGGTGTTGGTAGACGTGTAAGGGCTTGGGACACCTGCACAGTCAGAGCATCATCCATCGTGATATCAAATCGGACAACGTCCTTCTAGATGCTCAGGGCCACGTCAAAATCAGTAAGGCTCCACCCTCGTTATCTCTAACCCCTAAGCACGCTGACACTTACCATCTCAGCTGACTTCGGCTTCTGCGCCAAGCTGACAGACCAAAAGTCGAAGCGCGCGACGATGGTGGGTACCCCATACTGGATGGCGCCCGAAGTCGTCAAGCAAAAGGAATACGGCGCCAAAGTCGACGTCTGGTCTCTCGGTATCATGGCGATTGAAATGATTGAGAACGAGCCGCCTTATCTCGATGAGGAGCCGCTTAAGGCGTTATACCTCATTGCGACGAATGGAACACCGACGTTGAAGAAGCCAGAGCTGCTTAGCAGGGAGCTCAAAGGCTTCTTGGCGGTCTGTCTGTGCGTGGATGTGTCCTCACGAGCGACTGCTCATGAGCTCCTTGAGGTAGGCAATAAGTCGATAGCCAAGAACAGTCCGCTGATATACTATTCATACAGCATGAGTTCTTGAAGAAGGCGTGTGCTCTATCCGGCCTCGCGCCGCTCCTGAGATTCAGAACTCAGCAACGGTGAAATCCATGACTACAATCCATGGCTCACTGTGGCGACCCTTCTGATTGTCTGCCGTGTGCGGATATGCCACGCGCTTGTTAAGAGACATTTCGTGCCGTCTATGGTGCGGTACGCCTCTCGCTTGCCATAGCATCGGTGTCCATTACCGACTTCTTTGACCGACTTTGCTACCTCATTTCTTTCATCCGCGTACTCTCCAAAGCTATGCGTTGTATTACTTTACTTATATCCCTTTTGTTGCCGTTCTGACTTCATCATCCTTGACGCGGAAACCCAAGGCTCCCTTCTGTTAAATGAAGTGTTGTTGTTTACTTCATTCTCCATCCCATTGCGTTTGATGCCCTACATACTTTGCGTTCTTGTCTCTCCTCTTTCCGGCTACACTTCTTGCCTAACACTTAAGGGTAATGTATAAATTGATACGAATATCATATGGCCTGATATTAGAGATTGTAACATACAAGACATTACACTACGTGATAAGGCCAGAGCTCGCAATACCATAAGCATGTACTTCTGTGGCAAGAGTGCTAAAGAATCATACCAACCCAGTTCATTCCTCTCAATTGATGCAAAATGAAAAGCATGAAGTGGCAATCCAATTCAAGCGACTCGCGATGTGTACAACACAATTTACTATAAAAATCTCCTAGTGCCCATTACCACTTCCACCAGAATGGCTCTGACCCTGACCTTGACCTGGCGGAGGTGTACGTTCCTTACAGACGCGAGCCTTGAAGTGATCAGCATGCATTTGTCCGCGGCACATTGGACAATTGATCATCAAGCGCTGCAACATGTCGGTGAGGCAGCTATAAAGATATTATAAATCGAGCTCCGTAAAAGTGTATAAGGTCGACATACTGTCCACACGCCTCGTGAGTGGGGGAGTTGCTGCAGAAGCTGTAGAGCTTGTCAGGGGCCCGGATCTTATCCATGCAAATGGGGCAGGCTATCACATTGAAATTAGTTATAAGCGCCATTAAAGGGACCTACGAAACCTACTGTCTTCGCGGGCAGCGAGCACATTTTTCTCTACGAAGTCAAACCGTTTCGACATGTAATCTCTCGTCTCAAGCATCTCATCGAGAGAACGCGCAGAGATAGGTGCTTCGTCTACAGCGCGAGGCACGACGTTGTCGTCGGCGAACAGACCACGTTTGGTGGCTGCTGCAGACGAGGATCCACGAGCACTCCTG